ATTCCAAAATCTAAAATTATTGAATTATTTCCTCTATTGAATTATTAAATTAAATTTATCTTAAATTCCAAATTATTATTATCTTCGAGTTAACCTATGAATTATTAAATAAATTCTAAATTCCAACATATTAATATATTTGCATGATGAGATTTTAAATTCTAAATCTCGAATTATTAAATAAAAATAAATTTAAAATCTTAAATTATTATCAATGATTAAAAAAAAATAAATCTGAATTATATATATTTTCTCAAATAAATCCTTATTTTTTTCTCTGAATTATTAAATAAAATTATCTTAAATTCCAAATTATTATTATCTCTGACTTCTGAATTATTAATTAAATAAATCCTAAATTTCAAATTATTGAAATATTTCCTCTGCATGATTTATAATATATGCATTACTTATACATACTATACAACATCACTTTTCACATGAACATGTAGGTAGTAGTATATATACTATTCATGTGCAGTGGGTCTGAACTCAGTTTTCATGAAAACATACATTGGTGGTGTCTCATGCCCTCTCATATGTGGTGGCAAGAAATGGCTGAACCATGGTGTGTTACTGGTGGGATATGGTGCAAAAGGCTTCTCAATTCTAGGTCATGTATGTACAATGTACCAAAGGTTTTACCGAATTAACTTATATTCATCCAAGCTCATGGTATAACTTAAATTTTACAAAAATAAGAAACAATTAAAGTAAAATTTGATTGTTTAATTTGGTTTAATGTTGAATAAAAAAACAAACGATTTTTTTTTAAATATAATATTATGGAAGTAGCACCCATCCGTTGTAGTCTAGTTGGTTAGGATACTCGGCTCTCAGAATTATTTTGAGCTCTTTGTTATTTCATGTTTTTGGTTCTTAACACAAATAAGTATAATAAATAATCAAAATAAAAAGACTTGGGAATAAAAGAAATTGTACTAAAAAATTTATATTCATTCAACCACTAATTGTGACTTACATTTAGTCTTCAAATCATACTAGAAAATTTTTCACTACACAATTGTTAAAATTAAAGTGATACTTTTAATCACCTTCTTACCGAAATGAGAAATCAAATTATACTCGGTCTTTAATCAAATAGTCAGAAAAGTTTCAAAATATCAAATATCTCATTTCATAATTATTGGGATTGGCACTCAATGATTCCTCTGTCATATAACCTTGATCAAAAGTGTTGTAATTGCAAGAACAAACTTGTAGTGAGACATGAGAGATGACACAATGTAAATGACCCCAAATTTGTTTTTGTCTAACGTTGGCATTGTTTGCCTATTTGGGATAAAAAGAATGAAACTTGCCAATTGAATGGTACGACAACAAGCCATGGAGTTTCTTGGCAAATTCGTTCCTTTGAGAGATGGAGACAAATAAATAATTTTTGTGATTTGGTTTTGTATGGTGGAGAGAAAGTGAGTAAGAAGGAAAAAAATAATTAAAGATTGTTTTTTTTTTTAGGTATCGATTTCTTCATCATTATTATTATTACTAGAGGGACTGAGGTACTTAGTGCCTCTAATAATTATATAAAGACAAATATTAGAAATTGTAGAAGATATAAGAATTTTTTTTATTTTTATATTCAAGGGTATAAAGGTTTACTAAAAAGTAGAAACCAAAAAGATAGTTACTAAAATGTATCTCCTTTATTATAGACTAATAAGTATATTTTTATATTTAAGAGGGGTCAAGATACTTCGTGTCTCTAATAGTTATACATAGATAGAATATTAAAAGATTGTGTATAATTATTTAAAGAGTTAATTATCTATGCACTGCCAATGTAAAGTTTTTTTACACTGACAACCAATTATATCTTTCAATTGTGCCATGTCACCGTTAAAATTAAATGTATTTACAATGACATGGCACAATTAAAAGATATAATTGGTTGCCAGTGTAAAAAAAACTTTTACACTGACAGTGTGTAGGTGATTAACTCTTATTTAAAAAGGTTATATAAGATTTTTTTTTTATGTTTGAGAGGTATAATGGTCCATTAAAAAGTGGAGATTAAAGGTAGTTACACTGCACATCCAAGTATTCCCTTTATATATTATTATAGATTATTATTTTATTTTCTCTATTTTTTTCCCATCTAAACATACCATTAGTATAAAATATAGGGTTACTCTCATTTTCCTCCCCTTAAATTTTCTCTATTTTAGTTTTTATAAAAAAAAATTTGTCAGTCTCAGTGAAATGGTGACATGGATCCATATAGTAAATTACAATATTGTAGAAAATGAAACAATAATATTAAAGAAAAAGTGAAATAAATTTTGTCATAAGAAGAAAGAGAAACCGCTACTCCGTGGCTGGGCCGGGGAACAGCAACCAAATAAAGTTTGAGCCATTACATACCTTTTAATGGGCCGTCACCACTGTCAGGTCCAGCAAAATTTCAAATAGGGCCATAATCCATTGGGCCTACATGGCTGGCGTTGGAAGCCTTTTCGGGCCCACTTAAAGACAATAAAGCAATCCAAATTTAAGCAAAAAGGTGACGTGGGCCGATGTAAGGAGAAAATTTAAGACCACATGTTGCCATCATGATGTGGGCAATATAGGTGTGAAGTGGGCCAAGAAAATAAAATAATTCAAATTCATCATTACATAAATGTTCTTTTTTTGGTGAATTATTATTACATAAATGTTAGTAACACATTATTTATTTAAGGAGGAGACTATCATATTCAATTTGTGAAAGTGTGACACACTGAAAAATTAATTAATTCTTAAAAACAAAAATTAAAAAGATTTCATGAATTTGCATTTTTTTTTGGTTAAGTTAGTCCAACAGTCAATAAACATTAAAAATGTCGTCTATGATATAATTTTAAACAAAAAGACAAAATTATATAGGTTTTGTATTATTTTTACTAAGTACTACTTAATTCTTTTCTTTATTCATCTTAGTTCTCCCCTTCTCTCCCTTCCCAAGTTCTCCTTTTTTATTTATTTATAATAAAAAAAACATGTTTTGATGACAAAATACAATATAAGTTGAAATATATGAATATGATGACTCAACATTTTGATGCTCTAAATTGATTCATATTTTTTTTTATTGTATTTAATGTTTTGGAACAATATTTTTTTGAATTGGTTCATATTTCTTCCCTCTCCACTTTCTTTTCCCATCATTCAATTACAATTCACCATAAATAATAAATATATTGATGTTTATAAAGTTTTATAAACTAATTTTTATTTAGTTAATTTTATAGTGTCGGTGCAGTCCATTAATGTAGGGGTATGATGATGATGCCATTGCAATTTTTGAGATTCCAAAATTCTGATACGTGCAACATGCAAGAGCACCATCTATAAATTAGTGTCTGTGATGAATTGACAAGTTTTGAGAGAACATTTACTCACCAATTTTTCCTAAAATGTACAAAGAGATAGCTTTCTTGAATTGTGATAGTATTGAATACGTATCTATCCTACACTCTATGAATATTTTAAATTCTTTTAGATGCATTTTCACAAGATTTTTTTACTTTCATTTCTATTTTTTTTCTTTTTATATTCTTACAAATTAGAATACCTCTTGATACTACGTTTTTTTATCATGTTTATAGTAACCATGTTATTTTTAAAATACAAATTCCCTCTTCGGGTTTATAATTTTTTAACTTGTGTTGTTTTTATACGTTATATTTTTGCAATATCGTATTATGATTTTGAAAAAATTTATTCTCATCTTTGTATTGAAATGTATTTTCCCCATAATATACTTTTTTTTAAAAAAAGTTAAAATTAATTGTTTCAATTCTTACTTTTAAAGGCAATAACTAACAAATATACAATTATTATGACGATGAACTCATGTAAAATAATAAAAAAAAATTGAAATAAAATAAATTGTACTACCCACATCGGTACTAGGGTTCACCTCAGCACCTAGGAGGTCAAACTACATCGGCTTATCAAGTCAAATCGCTCCTCAACCGATAAGATAAGCTGATAAGATCACAATCTTATCAAATCGTAACTAATTCCATTATCACTTATAGGAAAAATCCTAATCTACATCAAGGTACGTGCATTATATATATGAAACTAACACACTCACAAAAACTAACTTAAGCATTGGAGTCTCTTTTGCAGGTACCAACCCCATCTCGGAGCAGCCGACGTACCTAGCAGAGGAAGCTCACTGATCTTACTCGAAGATCGTCTCACCACCGATCTCAGGTAAGAACAGTTTGGTGCCCACCGTGGGGCCGAAGCAAAAATTCCCTTCAGCCACAATAATGGTTTCTACTCGTAGCAACAACAGACCGCCTAGTAGCTCTCGAAACAATGTGCCCAACATGGACGGAGAGGCCGCCACAAGGACCCTGGTCAAACAAATCGAGATCCTGCGGCAACAAAAGGCCGCCGCCATATCCGCCATGCGTGCATAACATGAGGCCGACATCGCAACATTACGAGCCGAGAATGAGCGAATCTGGGCACAAATTCCACAACAACCATCACCGCCAACCCATCAAGCTAAGGACGAACATCAGTCGCTTTCCCCACCTCGAACAAATCGGTCACACGCCCCAGCACTTCGCGGGATGGCCGCTGGTAGCCAAGGACCGTTTCAATCCCTGGGACAAAGGGTCGGTGCAAGGCAACATCCTTTTGCTGACGGCATTATAGAAATGCCGCTCCCACTCGGATGGAAGCCGCTAAACATCGATTGGTATGAAGGCATCTCGGAGCCAGAAGAGCATCTAGACGCATACATCACCTAGATGAACCTTTATATCGATGACAACGCCATCATGTGTCACGTTTTCCCCACCTCCTTGAAGGCCCCAACCCTGAACTGGTATACCTAACTGCCTCCGAGGTTGATAAGCACCTTCGACGAGCTGTCAAGGTGATTTGTCGCTCAGTATGCCACCAGCCGTCTGCACCACATCACCTCGGCCGCCCTAGCCAACCTCTGCTAAGGCGACACGGAGTCCCTTAGAAAATTTATGGAGCGCTTCGCTGCCGTTTTCGTCAAAATTCAGAACCTCAACCCCGAAGTTGCATTGCACTCCATGCTCATGGCACTCAAGCCAAACCCTTTTGTCGATAGCCTTTGTAGAAAACCTCTCAACGACATGGACGATCTACGAGCACGAGCCATTGGGTACATACAAATGGAAGAGCACGCCGAATTCCGAGAGAAGATGCATGCAAAGCCAACCAATGGCAATAGCACAGGCCAAAAGGAGAAGCTCAAGGTTTCCAACGAGGCACACTTCAAGCGATCACACCAAGGAAGAGGCCCGAGGTATGATTTCTACACTTCGCTGAACACATCTTGTGTCCACATCCTTGACGAGGTAGCCAATACCGACCTCATCTCTTTGCCACCCCCAGGGCACACCCCAACGAACGTCGACAAGTCCAAGCATTGTAGAAACCGCCACAAATTCGGCCACACGATCGAAGAGTTCTGGACACTCCGAGACAAGATCGAGGAGCTGACACAGGCAAGCCACCTCGGACAATATGTCCATAGGTCCCAAGCCCAGAGAGGAGGACACTCCGGGCGAGGACGCGAAAGAAGACGGGGATATCACTCCCGCAACGACCAAGCTTCCAGGTCTAGACCTAACACCGAGCATGTCGATCAACCGGAGCCTAAATTAGAACCCAACCAGGCCCCCCTCCGTGGAGTAATCAACATCATCGTTGGCGAATTCGCGGGGGGTGGTGCCAGCAACTCCGCTCGCAAGCGACACCTGCGTAGCGTCAACCATGTCCAAAGTCGGCCACCACCTCACAAGCCAAAGAGCCCACCTATCACCTTCACCGACGAGGACTACGCCGATATCAACCCAAATCAAGATGAGCCAATTGTCATCTCCATCGAGGTCGCAAATTGGACAGTTCAAAAAACTTTAATTGACTAGGGAAGTTCAGTCGACGTTCTCTACTGGCCCACTTTCCTCCAGCTGGATATACCACACTCACTTATCCAACCTCACAATGAACCCCTAGTTGGCTTCACCGGGGAACGCGTGCACACCAGAGGATACGTCGAGCTACTGACCACCTTCGGAACCCCGCCCTCGACCAGGAGGGTCATGGTCAAGTACCTCCTCGTCGAAGCTTACACCTCCTATAACATCATCATCGGTCGACCTACTTTAAACTAGTTGGGAGCAGTAGTGTCAACTCCGCACCTTACCATGAAATTCCCTGGACTCAACGGAGACATCATCTCCATAAAAGCAAACCAAAAAACTTCCCGTCAATGCAACGTAGAGAGTCTTAAAGTCTCCACCCCACGCGTTGACCAACCACCCCAAGAAACAGTAGCCCACATCGCTAGTCTAGCGCTGTCCGACCTAGACCCCTAATCCGATTGCATTGATCAAAGGCCAACCCTCGTGACGTGCTCATAGAATTCCAAATCAGCCAAAACCCGGACCAGTGCACCAGGGTAAGCCAAAACATAAGCCCAGAACTATGCCAGCAAATAATCACCGAGGTACGTAAAAATGCTTACCTATTTGCTTGGTCAAGCACTGACATGTCAGGGATTAGTCCCAATCTTATATGCCACAGCCTAGGCATTCATAAAGAAGCAAAACCCATAGCACAACGTCGGTGCAAGGTTGGAGGCGAGAGGCGTGACGCTGTAGCCAAGGAAACTCAAAAGCTACTAACCGCAAGATTCATCCGAGAAATCGTCTACACTACCTGGCTCGCCAATGTGGTGCTGGTGAAGAAAAACTCTGGCAAGTGGAGAATGTGTGTCGATTACACCAACCTCAATAAGGCATGCCCAAAGGATGCTTATCCACTACCAAGCATAGACAGGTTGGTAGATGGCGTGTCTTGCCACACTCTCCTTAGCTTCCTAGATACCTACTCCGGATACAACCAAATCCTGATGTATCCTCCGGATGAAGACAAAACAGCATTCATCACCTAACGCGCCAACTTCTATTACCGTGTAATGCCATTCGGCCTCAAAAACGTCGGCGCCACCTACCAAAGGCTAATGGACAAAGTCTTCCATCAGCAGATCGACAAAAATATGGAGGTTTATGTTGATGACATGGTCGTAAAAACTACTTCGACCGGATCACACATAGCTGACTTGGCTGAGGTGTTCGGAGAAATAAGGAAGCATAACATGAGGCTAAACCCCGAGAAGTGTGCCTTCGAGGTGCAAGGAGGAAAGCTCCTAGGCTTCATGATCACCAACATGGGGATTGAAGCCAACCCCGAGAAATGTAAAGCCATCATTAGCATGAAGTCTCCCCAAACATTAAAGGAAGTGCAAAGATTAGCAGGTCGATTGGCCTCCCTCTCATGCTTTATACAAAAGCTAGCAAAGAAAGCAAAGCCGATCTTCAACCTATTACGAAAGCCCAAGGAATTCGCCTGGACTAAGCAATGTGAAGCTGCATTCTCAACCTTCAAGCAATTCCTCGCCACACAACCAATCTTAACCCGACCAAAGGACCAAGGTGAGTTACTCCTGTACCTTGCAGCTACCGACAACATGATTAGTGCAGTCCTCGTACAGGAGGACGATGCGAAGCAGGACCCAATATACTTCATCAGCCGTGTCCTCCAAGATACGGAGACAAGGTACCAAACCATCGAAAAGCTATCCCTGGCACTTGTCATCGCTGCCTGACGACTCCGACCATACTTCCAGAGTAACCAAATCATCGTCAAGACTGACTACCCTATTTGACAATACTCCAAAAACCCGAGCTCGCCGGGTGAATGATCGCATGGTTAGTCGAGTTTTCCGAATTCAGAATTCAGTATGAAAGCAAGGGAACACTTAGGTTATGGGCGAGGAGGAATTCGAACCCCCAACACTGTGGTTCGTAGCCACGTGCTCTAATCCTCTAAGCTACAGGCCCTACCCCGTCATCTCCGCTGGATATTTGTTCCCCATAGTATCCTAAGTCAAGCACTCAATCGCTTTGAGCCTTGGGCTAAATCATTTCCCCTAAGGCCGACCTCCTCTCAAAGCTTGCCAACACCAAATGCTCGGGACAACACAAAACCATTATCCAGGAAACCCTATCCTTTCTAAGCTTGGAAAGTCAAGTAATTTGCTCAACTGAACTTATCAAAAAAGGATGGATGACCGATATATGGCGCTACCTAAACTAGGGAATCCTGCCCAATGACAAGATCAAAACTCGATGAATTAAAAGTCAATCACCTCGGTTCATCATCAAGTCAGGCGAGTTGTTCAGACAAAGTGTCTCAATGTCGCTGCTCAAGTGCCTCGACAAGCCCCAAGCCGAGTACGTTCTCGACGAAATACACAGGGGAATATACAGACTACACTCGCGAGCACGCTCCATGGCTACTCGAGTTATCCGCGCAAGATATTATTGGCTCACGTTGAGATCGGACTGCAAGGCCTACTTCCAAAGATGCAAGCCTTGCCAAGAGTTCAGCCACGTACCTCGCCAATCCCCCGAGGCCCTACACCAAATACAATCACCTTGGCCTTTCGCGCAATGGGGAATGGATATCCTCGGACCCTTCCCCTTAGCCAAAGGCCAAGTCAAATTCTTGTTAGTAGCCATTGACTACTTCACCAAGTGGATTGAGGCAGACCCCCTTGCCAAAATTACTACCGAGAACGTACAATGATTTACATGGAAAAATTTGATATGTAGGTACGGCTTGCCACATTCACTCGTCACCGACAATGGAAGGTAGTTCATCGATCAAAAGTTTGAAAACTTTCTTCAAGAACTCGGCATCCGACATCACGTAACCTCGGTTGAACATCCCCAGCTGAACGGCCAGGTCGAGGTGGCAAACAAAGTAATACTTCACGAGCTCAAAAAAAGACTAGGATCGGAAAAAAGACTATGGGCACAAGAGCTTCCTAGCATCCTCTAGGCCTATAATTGCACTCCTCAATCGACAACCCAGGAAACAACATACAGGTTAACCTACGGTTTTGATGCCATGATCCTAGTGGAGGTCGGAGAAACGTCACACCGAAGGCTGACCTTCAACAACGACCAGAATGACCAAGAATTCGCAGCTAATCTCGACATGATCAATGAACTTCGAGATGAAGCTCGGATCAAAGAAGAAACCTGCAAACTCCAAGCTGCAAGAAAATATAACACCAAGGTCAAACCAAGAAAGTTTAGATCTGGAGACCTTGTTTGGCAACTCTGGAGCGACGCCAGAAAGGACCCCTCCGAAGGAAAGTTAGCTCCGACTTGGGAGGGCCCCTTCAGAATCAATGAAGACCTCGAAAATGGCAGATATCGACTAGAGGAGCTTAGCGGTAAACCAATCCCTAAAACTTGAAATGCCACCCACCTCAAGTTTTACTTCAGCTAAATTATACACAAAGACAATGTACTCTTTTTCCTCCTCGGCCTTTTTCGTCCCTAAAAGAAAAAATAAGGGTTTTTGGCCGAAAAGGTTTTAATGAGGCACGTCTAAATTTCAATAAAATAAACTCATTCCCACATATCTCTGTTTTACATTACTCAATCGTGAAAGGTCGGGTTTTAAACGCCAAGGTCGAATTTGAACCTCGAAAACAAAAAAGAGGTCAAGTTTGAACCTTAATCAAAAATCCTAGGTCGAATTAGAACCTCGGAAACAAAAAAGAGGTCAAGTTTGAACCTTAATTGAAAATCCAAGGTCGAATTCGAACCTCGAAAACAGAAAAGAGCTCAAGTCTGAACCTTAATCTTAAACGCCAAGGTCGAATTTGAACCTTGGAAACAAAAAGAGGTAAAGTTTGAACCTTAATAAAAAATCCAAGGTCAAATTCGAACCTCGAAAACAAAAAAGAGGTCAAGTTTGAACCTTAATCTCAAACGCCAAGGTCGAATTCGAATCTCGGAAACAAAAGAGGTCAAGTTTGAACCTTAATCTCAAAATCCAAGGTTAAATTCGAACCTCGGAAACAAAAAAAGCGATCAAGTTTGAACCTTAATCAAAATTCCAAGGTCGAACTCAAATTGTGGACGACTAAAAACCAAGTTCAAATTACAAAAAGTTGAACTTGAAACTTAGAATTTTGCAATTCACGAATTCACAACAAGAGAACAAGTTTGAGCTTTAACCAAAAAAATAGCAATATATAGCCAAAGGTGAATATTCATTCAAAACAAACAAGTCCAACATGGCCAAAGGCCTCGGATATGCAAAAAGAAAACTACAACTATTACAAAACATAGGAAAACTATACAAGCCTAGGAAGCGGTATTCTCACTAGAGCTCTCGGACAGATCATCTTCATTTACAAGCTGCCCATCCCGCACATATTTATCCACATGCATGGAAGAAAAATCCACTTCCGGTGCAATTGCTTGGGCCTGGCGAGCCACCTTGGCGAAACCCCTCTTATGCTCAATCACAACAGCGCGCTCAGTCACAAGAAGCCTCTTCTCCACATCTCCCTTCGAAGAGGTCAGCACCTCAAGGTCCGTCTTCAAGGCGTTAATCTCCTCGTTTAAGAAGCACTTCATCACAAAGATGCTTCTCCTTGGCTGCCCGTAACTTGGCCCTCAAGGCGGCATTCTCCTCTTCCAGCGCCCAAGTTTGACCCTGGGCAACCTCCGCCTCACCCTTAACGGACTTGGCAACTTCTACCAAATCGCCAACCTTGGTGGCGTACGCCTCGTTAGCCTTCACAGCAATCTCCAAAAACTTCTGAGTCTTTGCAAAATCCCTCCTTAGAGCTTGCAGCTCGGCCTCGCCCTTCTGCGCTTTCTCGAACTCAGCCTGGTACATCTGCCACCGACGTCTCCAGTGGTACACTATGGCAATGGACCTCTACATGAAAACCTCGGTCGAGTCAAGTCCCTCAACTGGTCGTACCTTCTCTATAATGGCCTTATCAGCCACATAGGTTAGATTTGCCTTATAAAACTTCTCAGCAGTCAAATAT